AATTTTGATGGTGAACTAAAGAACTAATCAATGCATTATCAAGGAACACATTAAACAATAAGAGAATTATTATTTGACTATCTGAGATGGCTGTTGTTTGGCAGACTGGTATTTATACTGGGTGATGATTGAAAGTGAGATGAAAATTTGGAACACGGCCTCATTCAAACCAGTGGCCACCGGGTTTCCGGTCCGATGACGTTCCAATTGAGCTACGAGTTCTGACTGTTGACCAGGTTTTTATTTCACTCCCACCATCCAGTTATAATACTGGTCTGCCGAACTATGGCTATCTCAAATAATCAAATGATAATCAATAAGATGCTCCCCCTCTCTGATTCAGTTAGATTTAGATTCGGATGAGAAGTCCTGACTTGGCAACCAGTGTGAGCACGATCAAGCGGTTGTAACGAGTCATAAATTAACATGGTAGTCAGGCAAAACCCTTAGCGATTGAAGTGAAATAATAATCCGGTCAGCAGTCGGACCTCGTAGCTCAGTTGGTATAGGATCGGGCCGGAAACTCGGTGGTCGCTGGTCCGAATCCAGTTGTGGTCCAAATTTTTATTTCACCTTCAATTATCACGTAGTAAAAATAAAAGAATTGTCTTAATTATCTTTGGGGATCTTACTGGTTTTGAAGTAGTTTTCATTATTGACAATAATCACTTAGAGAACCATGAAAACACTGAACAGCCATAGTTAACCCTTTACCCGTTGATTGGGTCGGGATCTAACAGTTTACATTTCTAAACTTGATTTGATTGACAACATAGCGAAATGACTACCTTGAATCATCAGTTTATGTGAACCCTCACTTATATTTGGCTATCTATATAAACTACTGCTTCTCATTGCACCTCCGTAACATCTGTCTCAAATATAGTTGAAAATAAGCGCTGAATAAGTATTCCAATAGACAATTTCTAGAGAAACGATTGAGTTGTAGATGGATGTTAGAGTCAACTTTGATCTTCCGTAGGCCTAATGACAATCACTGTTATGTCAGACTAGCCTACCCTATTACATTAGTTGTTGGTCACTTCACATCACGCACAGAATGAAGCCGGAAAATGTCAATATTGAAATCTTTTTGATGGCTGATTTCAGGTGTTTAAAATCCTACTAACTAGATCTTAATCTGAGAATTGACCGTTAGTACTTCAATATTTATGTTTCTTCGTATCTTATTTAGGCAATGAGTTTGAATTTCCGTACATTTATATAGTCTTTCCAACTGTCTTTCCATCGAAAATTAAAGAGATCTAGTGATCTTATTTCAAGAGAGGCTACCCTAGCAATTGCTGAAACAACCAATCATGTTCCACTTTTTTATAAAATAAAGAAAACTAATTGGTCATTGTAGCACTTTCTAGAATGACTATAAGGGTCATTGTATGTATCTTAGTAAGAAATTTGCTCCCCGATTTTTAATGAGGTTAGAACTTCTAAGTCGCAGAACGTCTTAGATTCAACTTCAGACTCTTATATGTGACTTATGTTAACAATATGTCTAACAGACGATGGGAACAGCAAGTAGTCAGTATACACTAAACTTTTACCGAATTTTTGTAGTAGATATGAACCAACACAAATTCTTCTTTGTAAGTACATGTTTATACACCTCTCTTGATTCCATAGTGTATTCGCCATACTTTTTGTTGTCGTTAAGTCACTCAGGAAATAATATCTTTTCCACTTTGTTTTCATTGCAAACTAGTTCAGAAGACCATCTCGGGATCTACGGGAAACAGTAATAATTAAGGTCTACTTGCTCCTTTGGAGCTAAGTACATCAGCCATGCCATGCTCCAGCTTTTGCATCGAGTTCACGAACACTATCTAACTTGGCTGACAAGGGGAGAACTGAAATGCATCCTCAGCTGTGTAACAGAAACTTAGCAAAAAAACTATACTTGGTTTTTCGAAATAACTTCTTCGAAATTATGTACAAAGTGCGGCGAAGTCATAAGAAAGAAGTGAGACTAAAACATCTAAAACATTAGAGATTCAAAGGTCAAACGTTCATTATACGTTTAAATGTGGTATGTACAACCTCCTTCTTTATCATGGCCATCGTAGAGTATCGACCACTCTGAACAACTACTATATGACGCAATTATTTTCGTTTTGTAATCATTTCTTTTATTTCCCCACTATGTAACTCTCCTTTGTGAAGCAATTTATGCTGATCTTTGACCAGAAATTGCCCTGGAACGTTCTATCTTCTTTACTATATACTTAGGAATGTACAGCTAAGAGAATGATTTCATAGAAAAGAAAAATTTTCCTTTACTGTAATCCTCTGTGTTTTTCCATGTTAAAATGGGATTCTTTCGATAATTAAGAGATGATACTGGATGATTAAAGATGAAATGGAAATTTGGACCTCAGCCACATTCGAACCAGCGACAGCCAGGTTTTCGGCCTGGTGCTTTACCAACGGAGCTACGAGACCCGACTGCTGATCACATTTTTATTTCATAACAATCACTAAGGGTTTTACCCGACTACTATATGAATTCGTGACGCGTTGCTACCGCTTCATCTTACAGTGGCTGCCCAATCAGTACTTCTGACTTAGTGACTGAAGTGAAATAAAATTCTGGTTAGCAGTTGGATCTCATAGCTCAGTCAGTCAAGTACCTGAACAAAAACCCGGTGATTGCTGGTTTGAATCTTGCCGTGGTTCAAATTTTCATCTCACCTTCAATCATCAGCCAGCATAAATACAAGTCTATCAAAGCGCGGGTATCTCAGATAGTCAAAACTATAATTAAAGAGTTCTTGCGTATGACTATCTCAGTATACTGAAAATACCCTAGACAATGTTGCACTGTGAATGTAGTCTGCCGTGACATACGAATATGGTCCTTAATATATGTCAGTTACTGAATAATTATTCCGGCAAAGTCAAGAACACACACTGTTTCTTATGTCGAGTTTTTGACCTCTCATTGTCTACACTGATGGACCGAATTATTAGCATTCCGCTTACATATGAACTTCTTGTACAGATACTTCAATTTAGCCAGAAGTTTCATAACGATTTTATTTCTTCGATGTTTCTCAACAGTGGAAATTCTCTTTCCTTCAGTACGTAAGTATTAGAGAAGATTTGTGACCAAAAGAAAGTGATAGGTACTTGAATTTTCCCTTTTCGAGCAGAAAAATATAATTTCATGAGATTCTACTAAGATATTAGATTTATATGCTCAGAAGTCTCGACTGAAGCTGAAAAGTCTGAAGAGCTGAATTCAACCCCAGATTGTTAGGCATTAAAACTGAAAACTGAATTCATTTCAATGCCGAGTCAGGTTTCCAGACTACACCTATTACTTATTCAGCCAACTAACATTTATTCTTAACTGTGGTGTCAAATAGGGTGTAAAAAAGTTAATGAACTTGTTACCACTCTGTTTTGGTTTGATTTATCAACGAACATTAACTTCATTCATTATGAACAAAGATAAATTTCACTAATAAGATTCATATAAGTGAATCAATAAATAATAATAATGATGAATTTTACTAATATATGTATATGTATGAGTAAAAAAAAGAATTTAGACAAAAGGCGTAACACCATAGAACTCATTTTGTATGTTTTTGTGCTTTTGACTTAGGGAGGTTGTGTGTAGGTGAGAGATAAAGAGCATATGATTTAGTAAGGTTTCAAAATTAATCTAAATTGGCCTATTTGAGTTTCTTCTCTTACATAAATACCTTTCAGTGTATAGACACATTAAATCAGCAAGGTCAGTCAAAAATCTACATTCATAAACATGTTCATACATCAATAATTTCATCTACAAATCTGTAAGCGATTTCCTGAAATGAAATTTAAACTGCTGTCTGAAATTAGCATGTTGATTTCCTGTTGAGAGTAGTCTGTTCACGTATCAGTCAACAAAAGTTCTTATGCTCTTTTCCTATATACGGATGAATGTCTATGTACTCAACATCCCACATTCTTTATTCAGCTTTGATCTACAATCATAACTGAGTACCTGAAGAATTCACAAAAGTATCGATAGGTCATCTATAAGTTGAATGCTTGACAATAATATCAATGAATGTAGCAGCGAATGGAAAGTATTTGGATCTCACTTGCGCCGTAAACAGATTTCGTGTAACGAATGTGTCAGGCCTATCCTAATATCTAGATCCACAGCTATTTACTAATGACCCCCCCCCCCCAAACAACCACAACCAATAGACTTTACTTCAAGGTAGATTTCATTCTTTCACACAACCTATTGGCTTACATTTCTGAAGCCCTATCTGGAGGAAAAGGAATACTTACTGCTCCCTATTTTAAAATTCATTTCAAATGATATGATTTAGCGGTAAGAAGCTCTAATTTTTTAAAAATAAACTGAGACGCTAATTTCAGTCCTAAACACCTCTGTAACATAAGTTGAGCAAGTCGATTAATTTCAAGTACTGAACGTACATGCGTTTTACGGGTTTTACACGAAGATCGAACATGAAATGTCTCGCAGTTGGTAATGGTAATCCTTAGATTGAAAAAAATTATATATATAATCAGTACTATGTCTAAACTCTGACGTCGTCTGAGAATAGTCCTAGTAACTGGTAAAAAGTGGCACTTTAAATGGCTGTCTCCAACTACCTGACTCTTAGGATCCGATCATATTGCTATTATATATAAATCATATCCATCAAATGCAAACCATTTGCTTACAAATTTAACGTCAGCAATAAGTTGAGATGTATTCTTTTTCCTCTACTGGGTCTATAATCCTAAAAGGACCAATATCACTATCTCAATAAAGGCTATATTCACTACATGAAACTTACAATTTTTGCTCATATGAAGTTACTACAACTTTTATCAATACACCAAAGCAGTCATTAAAATAGAATTCCTGAAAATCTACAGAGGTGCAGATCTCATGGGAAGACTGAATAATTTTTGTGCATGTAAACTATCAGGAATAATAAGATCACTAAAAAAAAATACTTGTTGGTTTTTACTTTAAAGCCTTCTTCTTTGAGAATTGATGGTGGGTGGAAATCACGTATCAGGAAGTATGCCAGACGATGGTGAAACTCATTGCATGAAGGATAAAAACAGCTAGATGATGAATAAGCATTGATTAAACAGTGAGGTGAATACACAGCAGATTCGCCGATTTTAGGTTTTGTGAGTTGAAATTCATTGGTACTGAGGTGTTTATCAACAGCTTCAGCATCCATTGTAACAGACGATGATTCATTGTACCGTTGATTAGGATTAACCTGGTCTTCTTTGATATCCTAAATGATTAGCAAAAAAGAAAATCACCCATAAATAGTGGAATGAAATCGTTCAAAATATGGGTAACTATATGCCTACCCGACGACTGAATTGAAGTATGCCTACAATGAATTCTGATGATCTTATGCTACATTTCATACGAGGTTTAAATTGCTTACATTGCGTAGGTCTAAAGCTAGGGGAAACCACTATTCAATTTTCCGCAGAATTCAATTATTCATTTAGTTTTCAAAAAAGCCACCTTTGAATTTGTTGTTATAATCTAGTCAGTTGTGGCTAGCGGAGGAATCCAGGATGCACGTTTTGTCCTATTTAGGACTAAACAGCTGGATTTACCTCCACCTCCGTGAGTGATGTTGTCCCCACTGGGACTCGAACCCCGTACCCTTCGCTTCAAACACTGAAATGTTATCCATCAGGCCACTGAGGTATTATAACCACCTCTTGTACAACTGGTATTAGTGATTACTATCTGTTAATACACTTATAATTCTCCGTTGTTAAACGGGGCTGAACTGCTCGACCTCTCTTGGCAGATGGGCTCCCATTCAGATGCCTTGATATTATCTGAATATTTATTGCTGTTTATGACTTGCATTTATGTTGAGAAAGTAAACTATGAACACTTCTTACTTTCTATTACTCGACAAAATGAAAAAGCTTGTGTTACATGCAGAAGAAAATGATTTCACATGACTTAGTTGTTCAGGAAACGGTTTAACCAGTCATTTCCATTTATGCTTTCCAATTCCATTGTAATACATCAGACAATAATGAAAATAAAAGCTTTAACTGTATGAAACGTTCATTTAACTTTTATTCTAACATTCATACCAGCAGTTTTATGAAGCAGCATGTTAGCGGGTTATCTGCATAAACTACTTATTGGAATAAAGATCATATTTAGCATAGCAGAGATGTGGTAAATGAGACAGTAATTCTTGTCACAGATATTTCAGAACCCATATCGATTGTTGACAAACATTTTGACGCCAATCAAATGACCATTTTCAATGAAAATTCAAAGCTCTACCAGCTGGGAGAAAGTTTTCACTTAAGTATTTTACATCGTAAATTGAAGCGACAATTGTTCAATAAAAAAATACATACAATTGAAGGTTTCATTATTCATAGTTCTGTGAGGTTAAATTGAAGTAATTTGACAACATCGTCACGGCCTTATTGAAGTTCTCTAAAGATTTCAATAAATTAGTGATATTGAACATTTTACCTGTTTTCCATACGTTTTTTAAGTGTATCAAATGCAAAACATTGAGTTACTTCGTATATGAATACATTGTAAAATACGATCGAAACAGTCCATTGAAAATTTTGCTATTCAGTTACATATCATGATAACAATTTCAGTCGGATACTACTAAATACCACCAACTAAGAAGGGATTCAGTTAGTACATAATGTTTGATTGTTTAGCTGAAAACTATTAAGTATTTTTGACTAATCGAGAAAAGGTTTCATCAAGAATGTAAAATGTTTACGAAGCGATTAACTATACTGGTTCCACTGAGTCTGTAACCCAGCACATATCGTTCCAGATACCAGAGTGTTACTCATTCAACTAATGAAGCAAGAGAATAATTAGTAAATTCGATTGATTTTACTGATATGCTTAATCATAGGCATGCGTAAGAACATATTTCAACAGAGAAACATCCATACCTTGGATTTCATTCTATTTTTAAACTCAACAATAATTTATTCTTTTTTACACCAGTAAACATTGTCTCGAACACTCACCAGAAAACAATATGGACACATGCAATAGATGATTAATTTACGTCTAAAACTGACGTCCATTCACATTGGCTATTTAATGATAAGTACATCATTGATACTAATTTAGACATTTAATGCAACATTTCATAGAAGAAAAAACAACCCACATTTACTGTTGAAAATATCAATATAATCCAATAAGAAATCAGTGTAATAAAATAATCAGGCATTCACTTAAGCGAAACAAACAGGAACACGTGAACAAACATTCTTTCTATAAACAAGCTGTTAGAAAACTATTGATTCACGCGACGGCGGTTAGGAACGGGTGACTTTAAAGAACATCATCAGAACACAAAAAACGTAGAACCCTCCCTACCAAAGACATCACAAAACACAGAAAATAAACATTATTAAAACAATTTACGCAAAAAAATCCACTGCAAGATAAGCATTCACCAGCACGCCTCCATTGCACTCTCTTCTCTCCAGTCTTTTCAACCTCCCTACACGACTACCCACAACCTTTCATTTCCTCCTCACATCATCTCCTCCACGTCACCCTCGGCACCCACACCCAACTCGTCGTTTCCCCCTTCACATTCCACTCGAGGATCACCCCTTGCATGTGATCTCCACCAATGGTCTTCTCAGTGTGTGCCCAATCCAATCCAATCCATTCCATTCCATCTCCACTCTTTTCTACTGCATATTTGTTGTTGGACGATGCGTGCTTGGTTGGTTCGTTGCCCAGTCAGAGTTCCTTCTTGCTTATTCTTACTATCTGGACACCTGATCATCTTCAGTATCGAGTGAGTGTAGGTGGAAGCTGTTGATGTGATGTATGTCTGTAGTTTGTTGGGAATGCTTTTCGTAACGCTCCAAGTCTGTCAACCATCACATAGAGCACTGATTTGCTTGACTGAATTAGTGTTGAAAATCCGAATCTTGTTCACGCTTTATGCTGAGTGCAATAGAGTACAGTACAGTACAGTAGAGTACAGTACAGTAGAGTACAGTACAGTAGAGTACAGTACAGTAGAGTACAGTAGAGTACAGTAGAGTACAGTACAGTAGAGTACAGTAGAGTACAGTAGAGTACAGTACAGTAGAGTACAGTACAGTAGAGTACAGTACAGTAGAGTACAGTAGAGTACAGTACAATACAATAGAGTGAAGTAGATCTCCACACTGATTATTTCAGGTTAATGCAGGAAGGCGTGTCTTGCTGTCTTTCCGATCCTGGCCTTGACATCATCATCGGTGCCGCTGCCGCTGCCGCTGCCACTGCCGCCACAGCCATCGCCGCCTGCAGTTGAAATGATGCTACCTAGGAAGGTGAGTAAAAGAGATTACTTCCTTTAAGTTTCTCCCCTTGATGGTGATTGGTGCTTCTTCTTGTTGTTGTCGTCGTCATTGGTTAGGTATCTTCATCACGTCTACCACTGTCTTCTCTACGTTCATCTGAAGGAAGTGCCATCTTCACTGCTCTGCCTAGCCTAGCCTCACCTCGCTTGCCTGGCCTGGCCTGGCCTCTTCTGTCAACTTGTTGGTTTTCGTCTGTACATCTTCCAATTTGTGCGACAAGACATTGGACATAAATCATCATCGGTGGCGAAATCCAAATCTTCTTCTGGTGTCTTTTCATCGGTCCAGCCAGCGTATACCCATCTTCAGTTGTCTGTTGCATGATCCAGTCCACTTGACCACAATCAGGAAGAAGATGGGTGATAGTGGGCGGTAACCTTGTCTTTTCTCCTCTTGCCTTGTCTTGTCTTGTCTTGTCTTGTCTTGTGTAACTCCTGTCTTCACTTCAGAGGCATCAACACTGAGCTTTCCATTGCGAATCACTTCGCATGTAGCCTCATCATATAGCATACGGCTGCTGTTGAGTGAGTTTGATGAATGGTTTGTGTCACTGGAAGCGTAGTGTTGAAGCAGCTGCCTGCCAAATTACTTCTCGGTCGACGCTATCGAAGGCCTTTTCAAAATCGACGAAGTTGAGGCAAGGTGAAGAGTTGACTGCCATTCCACTCTCTGTTCTATGATGAGAGGATGCGTAGAGAGGCGTTGCAATTTGATGCGTACAAGATTTGTTCTTCGTGAAGCCAGCCAGCCAGCCAGCCAGCCAGCCAGCCAGCCAGCCAGCCAGCCAGCCAGCCAGCCAGCCAGCCAGTCTGTGCCGGTCTTCATCTTGAATCCGGCGCATCTTTCAGTCTCTCCACAATGATGCGGCATAATATTTTGCTTGCTTTGGGTGGACAGGGGCAGGGACAGGAGCATGGTTCCACGCCAGTTCCTCTTCTGGCAAAGACTTGTGTCACCCTTCTTTGGGAGTTTGACAAGATAGCTCTTCTTCCAATCAACTGGCTGCTACCTTTCCTACCTTCCTTCTTTGCAAACCTTCTGCAATACTGGTGTGGTGTCAGCATGTCCGCTGTTGTCTCTGAGTCTGTTTTAGTGCTTCTGGAGGAATTCCATGTGGTCCTGCTGCGTTGCCGGATTTCAGCAACTTAATTGTGTTCAGGACTACACTTCTGCTTTCATCGGAGTGCTTGTGTTCACTGGTAATTCTGTGGCTGGCTGGCTGGCTGCAGCTGGTGGTGGTATTTCTGGACGAATTGCAGTTGATGGTGATGGTGATCAAGAGATGTTTGAAGTGGTCAGCCCATCGTTTTCTCTGTTTATCCTTTTTAGCGGTAACTAAGTCTCCTTCACTATCTTCATTCCTTTCATTTGTGCTGTGCTGTGCTGTGCTGTGCTGTGCTGTGCTGTGCTGTGCTGTGCTGTGCTGTGTTGATCTCTTCACTCCCAGATAGTAACCTGGTTATTTGGTATAGTGTTGTCAGATCTCTATCCTCCTACCAGGCGCCTGTTCTGCTTCACTTGCCAGTGTGTTGTAGAAGTGTCCTTTGTCATTGTGCGCACTCTTCTTCACTTCTTTGTCCAGTGTAGTGTTTTGTAGGTTGTATTCAGTTACTCTCTTCGTTGTTCATCCATGCACTGCACTGCACTGGTTCATCCTCTGCTTCAGCATCTTACTTTCTCTTCTCTATCAGCTTCCATGTGTCCGTCACGTCCATTCCTTCTCTTGTTTCTTCTTCTTCTTCTTCATTTCTAACACGGTTTTACAGGTTTCCTTCCACAGACTCTTCCTCTTTCAGTTTCTGTTCTGGGTGTTGAACTTCAACTGTGATCTGTCTATCACCAACTTGTGTGAAAGCTTTCAACTTGATTTCGAAGGTAAGTTCCTTGCACTAGA